ACCTACCGAAACTAACCAAAAATTTCCTTACACCGATGTCACTGAACAATTCCAAAAGAACCAAACTAACCCCTTGAAATTCAAAACAATCACCCCCACTGATATACAAACCAAGAAGAGCCTGGGATTATGCTTTTGATGTGATGAAAAATATACCCCTGGACATATATGCAAGAACAGAATGCTGAACTTTATGTTGGTGGATGATGAAGTAGAGAGAAAAAATGAAGAAGAAGAGGAAACTGTTGAGCAAGTTGAAAAGGAAGGGGATGAAGAAGTCATGGAAATCTCCATTAATGCATTATCTGGCAGCCTGAAACCAAAAACCATCAGAATCCCCGGCCAAATAAGGAGAAAGAAAGTGTCAATCCTCATCGACAGCAGTAGTACCCATAGCTTTATTGATGAAAGGTTAGTAAAAGAGTTGAAGTGTAAAACAGAACCAACCCAATCTGTGACAGTTACTGTGGCCAATGGAGACAAGTTACAAAGCACTGCCATTTGTAATCCACTTATTTGGGTCATGCAAAGGATGGAATGCCAGTTCCAACTGAGGGTGTTGAAGCTAGGAGGGAGCGATATGGTGTTGGGGGTAGACTGGCTAAGTCAATTCAATCCGGTGGTGTTTGACTTCGAGCGAAGTAGCATCAGATTCTCTTACCAAGGAATGGAAGTGGAGTTGAAGAGTGAAAACATAAATGAGGAAATTCTGATGATAGAAGGAAGGCGGAAGAATCAGTGGATCCAAAGGCAATCCTATGGGATTATAGCTCAAATTCAAACGATCAAAGAAGGAGAAGAAAACCAAATCCCTGTTGAAGTGCAGAATATTATTAAGCAATACTCCGAAGTATTCATGGAACCAAAAGGGATGCCGCCTCTCAGGTCTAATGATCACAGAATTTCCTTGAAAGAAGGAACACAGCCTTTCAAGATAAGGCCATACCGATGTCCTTATGTTCAGAAGACTGAACTGGAAAGGATGGTAAAAGAGATGTTAGAGGTAGGGATTATTCAGCCCAACAATAGCCCTTTTGCCTCACCTGTGATACTAGTGAAAAAGAAAGACGGCACTTGGAGATTTTGCGTGGACTACAGGCAACTAAATAACTTGACCATCAAGGATAAATATCCCATGCCATTGATTGAAGAATTAATTGATGAACTTCATGGCTCTAAGTGGTTTTCCAAAATCGATTTGCGAGCTGGGTACCATCAGATTAGGATGGCAGAAGCTGACATCTATAAGACAGCTTTCAAAACTCACCAGGGTCTATATGAGTTCAAAGTGATGCCGTTTGGCCTTACCAATGCCCCAGCCACATTTCAAGGTTTGATGAATGAAATATTCAAGGCCTACTTGAGGAAGTTTGTTCTGGTGTTCTTTGATGATATTCTGGTATACAGCCCCGATCTAAATTCTCATTGCAAACACCTATCCATTGTACTGGACGTGCTGAAGGAGCAAAGGTTGTATGCAAAGGAATCTAAGTGTTCATTTGGACAGCTAAAGGTAGAATATTTGGGACATATAATATCATCTGCAGGAGTGTCAGCTGATCCACAGAAGGTAAGCGCAATGCGACAATGGCCTAGACCCAACACAGTGAAGCAGTTGAGAGGGTTCCTTGGCTTGACAGGCTATTATAGGAAATTTGTTAAAGGATATGGGATTTTGGCTAAACCTCTAACAAATCTTCTCAAAAAAGACGGATTCAATTGGAATGCTGATGCAGAAACAGCTTTTCAAACATTGAAAACAGCAATGTGCAATACCCCTGTTCTGGCATTATCGGACTTTAACCAGCCATTCATTATTGAGACAGATGCTTGTGCAGGAGGAATGGGAGCAGTCCTGATGCAAGGGAAGAGACCTATTGCCTATATGAGTAAAGGCATTAGCAAAGAAAAGTTGGGGGTGTCCATTTACGAAAAAGAGTTGCTAGCATTGGTTACGGCGGTAGGGAAATGGAGGCATTACCTCGAGGGGCACCATTTCATAATCAAGACAGACCATCAGTCGTTGAAATACCTCTTAGAGCAGAGGATTACCACCCCTCTCCAACAGAAGTGGCTGACCAAACTCCTTGGGCTCAGTTATGAGATTCAATATAAGAAAGGGGCTGAAAACTTGGTGGCGGATGCTTTATCCAGGAGGGAAGAACCTGGGGTCGAAGTTACTGCCATATCTCGAGTTGTTCCTACTTGGGTACAAGAGGTGATGGAAAGTTATCAAGAAGATGCAATAGCTAACCAGTTGATTGAAGCACAACTAATTAAACCTGGAGAGGCATCTGATTATTCCTATAAGGATGGACTACTCAAACACAAGGGGAGTCTGTATGTGGGGTCAGGTGGACAGATTAGAGCCAAATTGATACAAAACATACATTCTTCACAGAGTGGAGGCCATTCAGGGGTCCAAGCTAGTGTGTATAGGGCCAAACAACACTTCTTTTGGCCGGGTATGATCAAAGATATCAAAAGGGAGGTGCTACAATGTGATGTTTGCCAAAGATGTAAAGGGGAACATGTTCCCTACCCCGGTTTATTACAGCCTCTTCCTGAGCCACAGTATTCCTGGAGTCATATCTTAATGGACTTTATTGAAGGGTTACCTCCTTCGAAGGGTAAGACAGTGATTTTGGTTGTAGTAGACCGGTTCACGAAGTATGGACATTTTCTTGCCTTATCCCACCCCTTCTCAGCCTCTAGCATTGCCAAATTATTCCTGGATAACATCTACAAGTTACATGGGATGCCTCAAAGTATTGTGTCAGATAGGGATAAAATATTTATCAGTGGGTTTTGGCAAGGGTTGTTCAAATTATTGGGGACCGAGCTACATCTGAGTTCTGCATATCATCCCCAAACAGATGGGCAAACTAAGAGACTCAATCAATGCTTGGAGATGTACTTGCACTGCATGACTTTCCATCAGCCTAAACAGTGGTCCAACTGGTTGTCATTGGCTGAGTGGTGGTATAATACCACTTATCATACTACCATCAAGATGTGCCCTTTTGAAGCCTTGTACGGGATCAAGCCACCACGGTTGGCCTTGGGCCCTTACCAACAGACCAACATTGCGACAGTAGGCGAATTGGTACAAGAGAGGCACCATATGGATCAGTTACTTAACGAACATTTAGCAGAAGCCAGGGCAAGGATGAAGTTCTATGCTGACCAACACAGGGTTGACAGAGAGTTTCAAGTAGGCGAATGGGTATATTTGAAGCTCCAACGGTATAAGCAACAATCCATAGCCACACGAGTCAACTCCAAATTATCTGCAAGATACTACGGGCCTTATCAGATTATCAGAAGGATAGGACAGGTAGCTTATGAATTGGAACTTCCCCAAGGGTCTAAGATTCATCCTATTTTCCATGTCTCACTGTTGAAGAGGAAGATAGGCAACAAAGAAGTACCTATTGTGCTAATCCCAGAGATTGATGAATCGGGGCAACAGCGCGGCACACCACTAGCAGTCTTACAAACCCGCATCATTAAGCGGAATAATCAGGCTGTTACTCAATGGTTAGTGCAATGGACGAATGCTGCCAGGGAAGATACAACTTGGGAAGATGGTGCAACTATCCAGAAGCAATTTCCCTACTTCCAACCTTGGGGACAAGGTCGATTTGAGGGGGAGGAATGTCATAAGCAACTAGTGGAAGGAAGCTCCTGGAGAAAGAAGAAGAAGAGGTCTCAACGAAATTACCAGAAACTGCAAGCTGGAAACGACACCGTTCGGTGTTAAATTAGAGACGGCAATTTCAACATTTCAAATTGGCAGTTTCAGCATATTTCAAATTGTTAACCGTAAATACGCCTTTTTCCCACTACTTAAACAAGAGACAGGAATGAAGGAAGTTCTGAACAGACATAATTGGTTTCCTTCCTTCTCTCTCGATCTGAAACTCTCTCTTCTTTCTGGTTCTTTTTCTTTCATTTATATTTTACTTATCTTAGTGGAATATTATCTCAGTTGGATATTATTACAGTTGGGTGTTGAATTGCTGTTGAAATTTGTAAATTGTGGACTGATTGTGTTGTAATTGTGTTGGATTTATTTGGTTTTGATTGAAGTTATAATCAATCATTACATGATCTTGCACGGTGTGGTGGTTAATTTTTTATGGCAATCAATGGTGTCGGTTTTCCAATGGAAAAGTTAATGAGAGGTCACAATTTTTTTAACGAGATGGAGGTGATGTGGGATGATGGGATGAATTATAAGTAATATATTTATTTAATACATATTAAATTCTTTAATTCATCAAAGGTACGTAAATTTTAACTTTGATTATGTTTTATCAATAAAAATACCAATGCTCAGAAAATTCCATAAATGGTTATTTACAATACTTTGTTTTTTTTCATAAGTATGTATGATTTCATTCCTAAACTCGAATGTTTGAGGTCGTGTTACTGAATGGTGTCGGAATAAACAAATGTATTTAATTCTTTAATTCATCAAAGGTACATAAATTTTAACTTTGGTTATGTTTTGTCAATAAAAATACAAACGCTCTGAAAATCCCATAAATTGTTATTTATCAATAAAAATACCAACAATGAGAAAATCGTATAAATGGTTAAATCAAGCTGTGGATCGAATCAAAATAAAAAAAAATCATTCTAGAGAAACTTGAGATTTTTTTTAGGAGACACTTATGCGATTTGACTCCTCAATGCGACAATATTACTTTACTATCAATCACTAGTCATGTACTCTTGCTAATATAAGTCTCAATTGGCTAGGCGCCGTGCTGGCTTGTTGGCCATGTTCGTAAAAGCTCGCTCTAAAAAAATTTAACAAATTAATAATAAAAATTATGATATGAATGATGAAATTAAAATTGTCTCCCAATTTTAGGAGGAATAATATAGAGAATGAAATCAGTTAATATAATAAATGGACAAGCTATTAATGCGGGCATTGTGTGGAAGCTATTAATATGCGTTAAAATTCTCTCCATTGCCTTCCTTTCCAGGTTTGCTTCCCAATGCCATAACGCATTCTCTCAGAGTTTCCATTTTTTATTTTTCTGTTCTGAAACTCAACAGTGAATAATCAATATTGGTTTCTTACATTTCACATGTTCAGGTAAGTTTTTCATTCGATTGCTTTCTTTTGTTCTTTGAGCGCTTTTCGTGATTTTGATTATACAGTCTAATCATATTGAAAAAGTATCTGCCTCGTGTTTGGTATCATTGTGTATGACATCAAATCTATGCAGGCATTTGATTTGTAGATAGCTATTTGTTTCTTGACCGAGATTGCATTGAAGTCAGTTTCGAAAATATTAAAAGCTGAAATCTGTTTATTTTAAGAAATAAAAATTTAAACAAAAATCGAGTTTATACGTAACTGTCAAATTTTCCCTTTTTAATATTCAAAAGTTTGGGTGCAGAACAGGGGAAAAGATGATAGGCTATCTGCTTTTCTTTGTATTCTTGATCCACACAAATGAAGCTAAAGGTGGCATGGGGAAGCCACCACCACTTCCTTTAAAGAAATGGATGACTCTAAGTGGTATTACGATTAGTTTCCCTTTTCTCCCTTAATCTTCTTAAGTTAAAATTAGTTGCACTTGCACATAGATCAGCATCGTGATTATGTCGAATTTTCAGGTGGTGAACCTCAGATTGTAGCAAACGGTGGATTCTCTGGACTTTTTCCGGCATCCAGTATCATGGCATATGAGTTTGCTTTGTTTAATAGCTTGCCTGGTACAATCTTGCTCTGCGATCTCCAATTTACACGGGACGGCCAAGGCTTTTGCGAGTCAGAAATAGCTCTTCAAAATACAACAAACGTCGATGACATTGATCCGAAAGGACAAAAGACCTACAATGTAAACGGGCAAGAAATTCAAGGATGGTTTGGGTTGGATTACGATGCTGTTTATGTTTTCAACAACGTGACATGTAGGTCGTGGTGTGTTTAGCATGCAGTATAATTTTTATTTTATGATTCACTTCAATGTTGCCTTTGTTGTCTACAGTGAACCAAAATATATTCACCAGACCGCCATGGTGGGATGGACAAGTGACTAATATGCCTCAAGATGTAGTTTTCAGCTTCAAAACTCCACCAAGATTCTGGATAAATGTTCAGGTCTCATCTCTTATTTCTATAAATATCAGCATTAATTAAAGGAAATTTATTTCCTGATAACTTCATATGTAAATCTTTGTGCAGTATGACAGTTTCTACAATCAACACAGAATAAGTCCAGAAGATTTTATCCTTAGTAGTATGGCTGATATACAACCGGAATTCATTTCGTCCCCCGAGATCGGTTTCTTGAAGAGCATCGGACCGAAGGTTAAAGATGTAAAAGCGAAAATAATTTTCAAGTTTCTTGGAGCAGATGTTGTAGAACCCACAACCAAGGAGAAATACGGTTCACTAGCAACCAAGCTACCGATGATAAAATCATTTGCATCGGGGATTGTTGTCCCACGACAATATATATGGCCTAGTAATAATGGATATTTGCAGGCTGCGCCGACAAATCTAGTGCTTGATGCTCACAAACTAGGGCTTGAAGTATATGCTGGAGTTTTTGCAAATGACGACTATTTAAGTTATAATTACAGCTATGATCCAACAAGAGAGTATCTTCAGTATGTTGATAATTCTCAGTTTTCGGTCGATGGGGTGATTACTGATTTTCCTGTAACTGCTTCAGTAGCTATCGGATGCCTATATCAGAACAAGAATGCTTCGAGGATAATAAAAACTCCAATAATATCACATGATGGAGCGAGTGGAGATTTCCCTGGATCTACTGATCTTGCCTATGAGAAAGCCATTGATGATGGTGCTGATATAATCGATTGCTCCGTCCAATTGTCAAAAGATGGAGTCGCCTTTTGTTTAACTTCACCTGATCTTACGGATTCAACCACTGCAGCTACGCTGTTCATGGATCGAGCTACAACGATACCAGAAATTCAAGCAGACAATGGAATTTTCTCTTTTGATCTCACCTGGACTGAAATTCAATCTCTAAAGCGTATGTGTTTGTTTATTTTGTTGTATTGATATACTGCATTTTCCATTTGTGACATTTCTATTCTCTGGTTTTTCAGCTCAAACTCAGAATTCTTTCCGAGACCTTATTAGAAATCCACTATACAAGAATAAGGGAAAGTTTATGAT